AGGAATGCCTACAACCAATTCACATCACCCCACCTCATCATCTCTCATCACCAACGAAACCACCAGTTCCTTCCTCTACCTTCAATGTACTGTCAGCGTCGGTCCCCAGATCTCCTCCACAAAGTTTTAAGCGTACTCTAATGTCCTTGAGCATTAGACTAAAACCTCTTCATTCCCATCCCATGTGACTGGTTGCACATGAAAAAAGCAGCACATGGTTCATCTGGCTTGAAAATTAGTTTCTGCTTACTGGCCAGCTAGTACACAAGCCCAGATTAGCCAGCAAGCAGTACGACAAACTAATTAGAAGTAATATTCTGTGTCTTGTTTGTTTCCAACACTGTCATGTATTTGACATCTAAATATCAGGGCTTTTTTCTTCCCTTTGGTTAAAACTATTCTGAATGTTACTATTTTTTATAAGTCTCAGAAAACTTACAGAAAAGTAGTCATAAATAGCGTTTCCACTTACATTTTACTAGCTGTAACCCTGTCCTTTGGTCAGGACAGATGGGTTTCATAAATTTGTGGCACTATCCCTATCACAGCTGTAATCAGTGATCTTCTAACCTATAACTCTAATTTGTACTCTCTGCAAAAGCAGCGTCTGAATGATGAAAGACTTGAAAATGTCCGATTTTAGAGACATCTGATGAAGAGGCTTTCCACAGCTTGGTCAATATGACATGTTGATAGTTACAGATGCAATGTAAGATAGCTCATATTGTTAAAGATATTAGGACCTCTCCTCCACCCCCTTTGCACAGCCCATATAGATGGGGCTTTTTATTACTAGTCTGTGGCATAAGCAAGTTCTCAGCATGTGTAAAGCCACAAAATCCATTCCTACACCAATCTCTGCACATGCCCAGACAGAATGGGACCATCAAGATCATCTGGTATGGGATAATGCATAACATTGTTCAGCGAGCCCTGCCTAGAGAGTTACTTGAGCATGTTAATGCACATAGATTAACATGGAAAACAAGGACGGAGTAACAGCTTCATGATGGCCCCTTGATGAAGCAAAAAAATCTCCACTCTGTTTCAGATTACAATAAGTTCTAGCTGATCTACTACTGAACAGACTATAAAGTTCTTGTCTTTATATGTCTAGGTTCTTGTACCCTGCCCAACTTTGTGGTACTTGCAGAGTTCTATGCTTTCCATGCACTTTTTAACATACAGGGCTAAAAAAAGATTACAAAATGCAAACCAGAAATTTCTTTTAAATCAAAGAATCATAGAGTGGCCCACGTAGAACAGGACCTTAAAGGTCATCTAGTTCCAATCCCCTGCCGTGGGCAGGGACACCCTCCACTAGATCAGGTTGCTCAAAGCCCCATCCAACCTGGCCTTGAACACTTCCAGGGAGGGGGCATCCACAGCTTCTCTGTTCCACCCTCACAGTGAAGAATTCTTCCTAATATCTAATCTAAATCTACCCTCCTTCAGCTTAAAGCCATTACCCCTTGTCCTATCACTCCATGCCCTTGTAAGCAGTCCCTCTCCAGCTTTCCTGCAGGCCACTCTAGGTACTGGAAGGCTGCTATGAGGTCTCCCTGGAGCCTTCTCTTCTCTAGGCTGAACAACCCCAACTCTCTCAGCCTGTCCTCACAGGAGAGGTGCTCCAGCCCTCCGATCAGCTTCATGGCCCTCCTCTGGACTCACTCCAACAGCTTCATGTCCTTCTTGTACTGGGGACCCCAAAGCTGGATGCAGTACTCCAGGCGGTGCCTCATGAGAGCAGAGGACGAGAATCACCTCCCTTGACCTGCTGGTCACGCTTCTTTTGATGCGGCCCAAGACACGGTTGGCTTTCTGGGCTGCAAGTGCACACTGCTGGCTCATGTTGAGCTTCTCGTCCACCAACACCCCCAAGTCCTTCTCCTCAGGGCTGTTCTCAATCCATTCTCCACCCAGCCTGACTTAGAAATACATATGAAAAAACTGCCTCCAGCATGCTTTATTTTTTACTGACAGTGTAACTAGTAGTGATATAGTGATACACTGAGAATAACTGTAACAGCTTTAACACGGGGAAACAAGTTGTTCAGTTACTTTTCATAGTTGCTAATACAAAAATATGGTAGATCAAATTCTTAAATAGGAATTTCACAGCTTCAAAGGTAGCAAAATACAGCTTAATCCAGTAAAAAAGAAATAGAATACTTTTCCTTTTATAACTGCTTACAGCTTACATAGTGTCTGGTACTGGCGCTTTTGAACAAGAGCTGGTCAAGCCACTTGGAGGCAAGGATACCTGAAACACAACCTGCTTGGGAAGGCAAGAACGGAGTCATAGAATAACATCCCATTATGCCAAAACACATATGGTATCCACTAGTACTAACAGGGTACTGAAGTCCCCACTGCGCTCCCCAGTAAATCTGCACATGGAAAACATACTGAAAATCCATCTCATCACCATATTCTAGCCTTACCGTAAAAGGAACCATTCATTTAAAAAAAACAGGCCAAGGAAAAGCAAAACCACAAAAACCCCCAAACCCAACCAAACAAAAAAATCCAGCTGTCCTATATGTCAGAGATACAAATACTTGCTCAGAAGTGCAGTGGCAATATCACAGCAATGAGCTGACACATCATTAAATCAAGAAAGGTCAAATGAACTAGGTTTTTCAGAAGCAATCCAAGACACACACTGGCTAATACATGCAGATAAAGAAGGGAGAAAGGAGGAAAAGAAATTATTCTAGATTTTTATCCTAATCAATAGGAGAAAACTTCACGAGAAACTTGGGCTGGAAGGCAACTTGCATTATTTCTCATTTTTAAGAGGGTGGGTGAAAAGTAAGATAAAGACAATGCCCATCAAGTAGGCAGACTTCAATCACCTAGGAAAATTAGTAGGTTAAATTGCATAGAAAAGGGAAATCTAAAAAGGAACAGAAAATAATTCAGGTGAACTAGTAGTTTTCACATAGAAACGACAAAATAATAATTTGCAATTCTGCCCTTGATGAAAGGGTAAGAATAGGCAATGCAGTAAGAGATCAACTTAGCTACTTCATGAGCTCTTCATTGAGCTCAAAGGCAAAAAGCAGAATACAGAAAGTGCAAATTATGTCCAATTGCTACTGACAAATCTAAGGGAACACAGCATATAGGGACACAATCAGAAAAGGGTCAAGGGCAGGATGAGACACAACTGGCAAGGGATGTCAATGATAACAAGAGATTACTCTGAAAATATTCGTAAGAGAAACATCTAAAATAGGAAATACATCAAATGAAAGGATGCATCCTCACTGTCAAGAACTAGGGGAGAATAAGGAAGTGCTAAGTTGATGAAAAGATGAAGTGTAGCAAGTATTCTTTAAAAATAGGGTTAAGGAAAAAATAAAGAGGAGAAGACTTATAGAGCACAGTCTAGGAAAACACAAGAACAAACAATCAAACAATTTTTAAGCGCTTAGGAAAGAACAAAAAAAATAATCAGTAGCCAAGATGTATCAATAAGTCATACGCAGTGTAATTTACTTCTGGGATGCAGTAATAGGTCTTACGGATGGATGAAAAGCGATTACTGCTATATATCTTCTCTTTAGTGTGGCTTTTGTTACCATCTCACATGACATTCTCATAAGCTACCAGCGAATAAGTCAGAAGAAAGAAGCACCATGTGGATACGAAACTGTTTGAAAAGCTGAACTTGGGAGTAGTTACATACAAAACAGAAGGACACACTGAGTTGTGTTCCACAGGGGTTCGCCCTGAATCTGATACTAGTTAATACTTTCATTAGCAACTCAGGCAGTAGAATGGAGTATACACTTATTAATTTGCAGAGGCATAAAGCTAAGTGGATTAAAACTGTATCAAGAGAACAAGACTTCAATTCAAAACAATACTGCCAACTTGGAGAAATGGCATGAAGAATTTGAATACGGAATGGTCAGAGGCTCTTTGTTGCA